AGGGGGGAGTGAGAAACCTCGCTCGGGGGTGTGGGAATAATTGTTGGGTAGTCGGGTTGGCCCCAATCCCTTGCCTGATGTATGTTTCTAGGAACATGAATGTGTTCTGTTTTACTTTCTGATTACTCTGTTGTGTTCCTTGTTGGAGATGATGAATGAATATGTGGTTATTTTGAGTTTTAATATGAACTAAAATGCTTTATGGATTCCTGTACGAACCCTATGAGGAATAATTATGACATTATTATGTAAAATATGAACAAATGACATGAGACATAAGAATGGACTATTGAGATAAGCTATGATTATGAGAATATGAAAAATGATGACATGAGGTATTAAATGAAATTCTGTAGTAAGTTGAATGTTGAGTCAATAAAATAATGAATGTATGACATGCATCATATGCATATATAACTCCAGGTGTGTTGCTTATGTCGCATACCAGTGATGTACTAAGATATTTTAGGTGTACCTTAGGGTCACCAGTGATGTAACAAGCTAACAAGGTGTACCTTAGGGTCACTAGTGATGTAACAAGCTAACAAGGTGTACCTTAGGGTCACCAATGATGTAACAAGCTAACAAGTTGTGCCTTAGGGTCACTAGTGATGTAACAAGCTAACAAGGTATGCCTGAGGGTCACCAGTGATGTATTCATGAATGAAAGTGCCCAGGTATGTTGCTGTGTAGCATACCAGTGATAAGAAATGTAAACTTTCGTATGGCGCCACATGCATGCATTTATGAGTCGAGTCTATGGCATTATTGCATGATAATTGAATGTATATGTATTCTAATATATTTATAACTTGAGAGTTATGATTAGTTATGTGTAATTTGTATGGTATTTGTTATGTCTGTGTGTGTGTTGCCTAACATTTATTTCTACATATGAATTCGAGTGAAATGTTTCTCACTCCCTTGTTGCTCTTGTATATGTTTAAATTATGTTGCAGGTGATCATCATCATGAGGATGTTGTTGATGAGGCTTAAGGCTTCAGTTGGGCATGCTCTGATAGGATGTGACATCGGGGCATAACTAGCTTAGTTTAAGATGTTATTGTTTTAATAACTTTAGTTTCTTTTCTTTTGTAATTTCTAGTGAAGGGATAACATAGATAAAGTTTATAATCCAAGGAAAGTGTATGTTAAGAATTGTAATTTTGAACGTTCTTGATGAAAGGCCAAAGTGTGTATCTTTGTAATATTTTTATTACATGATTTAAAAGTTATAAATTAATTCCTAACTAGGAGGCACTGCCACCTTTGCTGGAATTAATCTATATTTTCCTTTATATGATTTCTTTTGTTTTGATACTTACATGTTGACTTTTTATGATTTATGAGTTACGAATGTGAATCTTCTACCTTATGATATTTGAGACAATTGTTTTATCCATGAAAGATGTTGCCAACTATGAAAGATTTTATTTACTCAAAAAGAAAAAGAAAAAAAATTTATTGTTTGCATTTATTGTGTATTAATGTTGGGGTAGAGGGTGTCACACATACTCTGAAATTATTTATGCAGGTGGACAAGCTTCAAAGGGAACTAGAGACACAAAACAAGGAGAAAGTGAACTGGGAAACTCGAGTACTTTAGTCAGAGAAAAATATTCACGACTTGAACTCAAAATTAGAAGATGTGAGTTTATGTTTGGCTACATTTTTTCTCTCTTTCAAATCTACATTAATTACCTCTCAAGTTTGTTGTCTTCGAAACTAGTTCTTATTCATTATTTACTGTTGATTTTTGTATAATTGTTCTTGTTAAAGCCATGTATCTTAATTTACTCATTTGAAAAACATTAATGATACATGTTCTATTATATATATACACCTTGAGTATTTGATTCTTGTTTGGTACTTCAATTTGATTAATACTTGGTTTACATGATGATATGATGGAAACTAGCAACCCAATTATTAAGTAGATGTTTCTTTCTAGGTAGAAAAATGAGATAAGGACAATATGTTGTTAAATTGATCATGAAATATTCCTTTTCGTATTTTATGTTTGTTTATGGTATTTTAACCATTTTTTGTGTGAACTTGCAAGCTTGTAGAGAAAATGAACAATGAAGATCAACCTTCACAAGAACCAACCCCACAATCTTCACAACAACCAATTCCATGTCAAGGTTCTACTGGTATTGGTCAAGGATTGATGAATGAACTACTACAAGCACCTTCAGAAGCATCTGATCAAGTAAAGTCAACAACACAAATAGAGAATAGGAGGCTAAAAAGTGTTGTGTGGCAATATTTTGAAAAGATTAGAATTGATGGAAAAGATAATGCTAAATGTAACTATTGCAACAAATTGCTTGGAGGAGAAGTGAGGAATGGAATAAAGCACTTGCACCACCATTTAGATATATGTCTTTTAAAGAAGGTTTCTACAAGTGGGAACGGGGGACAAACAATGCTTTTTTCTAAGGTTTTAGGACGTGGGAAAAAGGAATTGGCATGTGGTAGTTATAATGAAGAAAATGCAAGGAGGGATCTTGCATTGATGATTATATTGCACGAATATACACTTTCAATAGTGGACCATATTGGGTTTATACGATTTGTAGCAGCAATTCAACCATTATTTCAACTTCCTTCAAGAAATACAATGAAGAAAGAGATACTTGATATCTATGAAGATGAAAAACAAGTTGTCATGAAACTGATATATACAAATGAAGGAAGAGTGGCAATTACATCAGATATGTGGACTACAAGCAACCAAAAGAAAGGGTATATGGCTATCACAACTCACTATATTAATGGCAATTGGACCTTACAGAGTATCATTTTGAGGTACAAAGTTTCTTTAATTTATAGCTTTTTTCAATAATTGGTTTTGCATTTTTTTTATCTTTTTATATGACAATATGATTAAATATACATGTTCATTTATGTTCCTGCACCTCACACAGCTTGTCACAACCGAGATCGCGACGGGACGATGAAAAATAAATTAAAAAAGAGGGAGTTGCCACCAATGTTAGTTTTTACGGAAAAACATTGGAAAAACCATAAATTAGAAAATAGTCTACGAAAACTAGATTTTTGAGTTCGGGAGTCGATTACGTGTGAGGAAGGTATTAGCACCTCACAACGTTCGTCCTAAGACGATTACCTTTAATTAATTAAACAAATTAATTATAAAAAGGAAAATAATATATTTTTTTATTTTTTGGCTCGATAAGATTTATTTCTTGCTCCTACGTATCTTCATGTGTAATGAAAAATCAAAGTCACGTAGTTCTTTGTAGAAAATATTTGTGTTGATATTTTTAAATTAAATTTTATTTTTGTTAAATATAGAATTCTTGAACTGTCTCAGCTCATTCACCCTAAAATTATAAAATTGACTAAGGTGTACACCAAAGTCAATTCAATAAAATTTTAATTATAATTATTGCTAGAGATGTTATGATCTTAAAAAATTTCTCGGTTGGGCATTTTTGTTTTTGGAGAAAAAATTTAAAGATAAGCTGTCACAACTTGTACTTTAAATTCAAAGGTTAAAAGATGTCACGTCTAATTAACCATTCCTCCAATAAATTTTTTTTAAACCATTCCTCCAATAAAATTTTTGATACAATAATTTCATATATTTATATTAAATATTGTAACTCTATATTTGATATTTAATAACATTTTGAATTTAAAAAAGACTTTAAAATCACAAATAATCTTTTTTTAAAATGATAGGTATGACTAATGTAAAAAAATAATAATAATAAAAAGAAGTGAGTTCGATATACTCACCATTCTTCGCTCAAGAAGTGGTAACTTGCTGGTCTCTTCCTCTAGGCTCCCTCTGGTCAAAAGTGGAGATGTGTGTGTGTGGGGGAAGGCCAAGGGCCGCGGTAGGAATGATTGTAATGTCTGTAATGTCGTTGATGCTCTTCGAGCATTAACATGAGCGATAGAAATTGATAGATGGTGTTGTGCCTAGTTGGTTAGAGAGGTTTTAGCATCATCATCCATCCTCATTCAAGGGGGATATGAACCTGAAGCTATTATGATTTGATTGACTAACACATGGAAAATATGTTTAAGTCTATATGGAGTGTTCTATTGTCAAAAGGTGAATCTAGCTACATTTAAACTAACTGAAAATGCACATTTCTAGTAGAAGGGTGCCTTGCAAAGAAAGATGTTTGAAGGCACACTGGATAACTTCAAAAGGACTTTCTTGAAAAATTATTTCCTAGATGATGTGCGAAGCCATAGAGGGATGGAATTCTTGTAGTTAAAGTAGGATGGCACCGTGGGAAAATATGCTGCCAAATTCAATGAGGTTGGTCCATTGTTGCTCTCTTTACCATGGTGAAGGTAGTAAAAGGGCAAAGTGCATTAAGTTTGTGAATGGTCTCCATCTAAAGATAAAGACGATGATCGACTACTAGAAGATCTATCATTACTTGACGCTGATAAACAATTGTAGGATCTACGATCAAGATAACGGAGCATGCACTACACACTACAAGAGTGCGAGTCCTATCAGAGATGGGAGGTTTGGAGGTCAAAGCAAGAGTGAGTCATACTCCGCACCTGCAAAAGTTTCATGGGAGTAAAGCTGGACGAAGTGGAAGCATGTTGGGTCTTCTACAAGTAGAGGAACTGCTAGTGTTGGAAGGTCGGCTTCTACACCTGGGCATACGTACAAAAAAAATTCTTGGTCATACTTCTTAGCTAGAAGCGAGGGTTATATTGTTGTAACTTTTGGATTGGTGTGTTAATCTTTCTTAGTAAATTATAACAATTAAAAGTATATTAAAAGTTTTGTAAATTTAAATGTGTTACATATATGATATTTTTATAATTCCCGATGATGAAATAAAAAATAAATTGTATGCAGTTGCGTTAAATCTTGGGGCCAGTTATCCCACCCTTTGAGGTGCCTCCAGCATAGCTATGAGATTAGTCACCTCCAGCGTAACTAGGAGATTAGTCACTGCTATCGGCAGTGGATACTCCAGGAACGAAAAAAAAATAAAAAAAAATAAATATTACATAGTACATTATAATTAGTTGGTATTCGGTTTTGTTACAACTAATAAGTTAACAGAATCTTATAACACAAATATATTCGTGCGTCAGATACAAACATAACAAAGTATACAACACATAATTAATGTTCAGCAAACATTTTTTTTTTTTTTGTAAAGCAAACCTATGTAACTAAATAGTAACCATAAATTTCCTCTCTTGAGCTTCACTCTTCGTTCAACAATCACATATCCCTCAATGCTCCAAGCAGAGTTTCTCCATTATGAGAATGGTGGAGATGCCCGACCAAAAATTACTTGTTGCAATGGCCATGCACATTACTCCTCGGAGGTTTGGTTATGCTTTGAGTGCAAGCAATACTTTGACTTGGTTGATCTTATACCAGTAGACGAACCAAGAAAAAAAGAAGTTACATAAGTATCATTATAACTTTCTTGTTAATAACTTCTTAAATATAGCGAGATACCTATTAGAGTGTTTACGAGTATATAGTTATTTTATTATATAAGAATAAATTAAATGAGACTTTTAAAATTGAAAAAGAAAAATAATAGTCATTCAGTGTTAATATAAAATGTTTTTCATTATCAACCAATCTGAAATGATTATTAATATAATTTTCAAAGTAGTTATTGTTAAAATAATCAAACTTACAATATATGATAGTTTGTGATTGATTAATAGTGCAAGTACAAATTCATTATATTATAAAGGATTTAATGATGGTATACTGACGGTGTAAAGTAGTTTACAATGTCATCCAATCACAATTTATCACAAATAATAACTTTATTAACTTTTACAATAATTATCTTAAAAATCTCATAAATTATAATTTTTTTTATTAATTGACTATGTAAAACATTTTAAACTAATAATATATGACCATTAAATTCTATTATAAAAATACTTTTTATTGTCAGATATCATTACATAGCTTATTTTTTAAAAACAATCATGAAAATAAATCATATCAATCAAGAAGCAAATCCAAATAACACAGGTATGCCTAAAGTGATATAAATAACATAACCTAACCGTCCATACAGAATTCCATAAACTTTAAATTGCTTAAAGACTGTAACAATTGTGGATGGTTAATGAGAAAAGCTTAGAAAGAATGTAAAAAGAGGTTATACATTGAATTTTACCTAAGCAGCATTCATCAGCTACAAGCTTGAATTCGTCCTGCATGTCCAAATGCTGAATTTTTTCTCGCATTGGTTTCACATTTGGGTGCTGCTGGCATTACCGTTTCAAAGGCTTCAACAAGCAGTGCCACCTTCTTCTTCCTAGCTGGGGCAAGTTTGGTGACAGCTTGTCTGAGTGCACAATCAAGCATCCAATCCTCGGCATTCTTTCTCTCATCCACCATTTGATGCCTCAGGTCAACCTTTTCTTGTTCTGGCTCAGGAGCCAAGGGCAGAAAATTTGGTTCTTTTGGGTTGAACTTTCTCATTTCATCATCATCTTCAACACCCCTTTTTCTCCTAATTGCACCTCTCCAATTCTTGCTTGTGCTTTCTTCTTCACCACCTTTGTCACTTGTGCTTTGGAACCTTTTAGCTTTGACTTGGTCTTTTTCTTCAACCAACTCAATTTGCCTCTCCCCTTTGTTGCTCTCATCAATGTTCTCTAGGCTGCTTGAGTTTCCATCTTCACTGGCCTCATCAATTTTGCATGTTTCACTCATCTTCTGACATTGAGAATTGTCAATTGTCTCTTTCTCTTCATCAAGTGCCTTCATGTTGCAACTGGCCTCATCATCCACAAGTTCTTTATTTTCTCCACCATAATCTTGTGCATTTGTAAGGTACTTAAATATTTCCTCTGTAAAAGAAGATTGGTCACAACCCATTTCTGTGGAGGAGTATTCAATTTCTTGAGTTTCGGTGCTTCCACTTGCGTCCTCAAGAACATAACTAATGCGATTACGTTGTTCTTCAAAGTAGGTGCTTTCTTCTGAATTGACTTGTTTTTGTGTTTCATCAACCTGAAAGTTCTCATAATAGCCACCAAGGATATCATCTAACCATGTCACGGACACATCATGAGAAATCTCTGATGAGGACTCAACTTTTGAGTCTTCTGTGTACACAGAAGAATCAGCATCCTCTTCATGATCAAATCCGCACAATCGCTCCTCCTCCCACTCCATATCATAGGTTTTGAAATCAGAATCATCCATGTCTTGTTCCCCATCACTGCAGTAACTTCCCATACTCATTTCTTCATGAAACCAGACAACAGGTTGGTGATCTTCTTCTGCTGCAACTTCTGCATTTTCTTTTTGGAGAAAGCTCCCTTTGGTATCTACTTCAATTGCAACATCATCAAGGGATTTTTTGAAATCCTCCTCAAGATCAATCTCAGATATATGGGGACAAGGAATACCTATAACTTTTGGAGAAATCACTTGCATGACACCCTCTTCACTTGTTGCTATGCCATTATCCTCAATTATGGACTTGTTATCTTCTTGATCCTCAATCTCTTTGAGAAAATCTATTTTCCCCATTTGTTCTTCTCCTGTAGGTTTTGCATCCTTCTCATTGGCATAGATTTCAATGAAGATATCAATGCCAATTTCATCACAAGCAGGTTTTGCATCGAAGACATTCAGCTCATGCTCAACATCAGAGTCCTCCTTTTCTGCCTCAAGGGCACCCTTCAGATTCCGAGGGCTAAGAGCTTCAAGCTTTGCGCGCTTCTGCGTCTTCAAAAGGCGCCTCCTCGCGGACATGAAGCTCTTCAATGGTGGCAAATCAGCATGGTGATGACCATTAAGAGAGCAATATGTGTAAGGGCAAACCTTCATGGTTGAAGTGCCCTCTGACTCAGTTCCCCCAGGGTTAAGCATGAGAAATGATGGGAACTTTGAGTCCTTCAAAGTTGAAGAGCAAGTGGCTCTATGTGGTGCACTCATATCTGCACACATAACAGCCCTGGGGGATTTTCTAGAGCAAGCTCTAGAAGCCTTGAAACTAGTGGTTTTTGTCAATGTTCTCACCAAACTCAAACTAGATGATCTAGTCAACGCTTTTGTTGGTTTTTTAACACAGGCAGATTTGGAATCACTGGAAAATTTTCTTGGAAGATTCTTAAAATCAGAACCAGGTTGAGTGTTCCTGTGGCTTACCGGGAAAAGCTCCTTTTTTGCATGAGAGCTGCTTGTTGGCTTCATGTAATTGGGTGAACCATCTACTGTTCTGAACAAAGGTTGCTGCTTCTGTGGTGATGTTGATGTTGTTGCTGATGCTGCAGTTGCTGGAACATGAAGAGGGGGTGGCTTTCCTGGTTGAGATAAGCTTCTCGTTGAAGGTGGTGATGATGATGGTGTCGATTGAAGAGCCTCAAGATCAGAAAGCTTTATTGACCTTGATTTTTTCATTTTCTTCTTCATATCAGCTCCTCTACTTTTTCCATCTTGGTGCTGAGATAAAGATAGCTTCATGTTTGCCAACCTCCTATCTGATTTAACATGTTCCTCTTGGATACCAAGCTTGCTAGGCACCTTTCTTTGAACCATATTCCAAGGAAAAACTACAGGTTGAACAAGTTGGTAAATAAGGGATATTTGGTTTGGTTTGGTTTGGTTTTGTTTGGTTTCCTTCCTTGGCTTTGTGGAGTTCAAGCACAGGAAGAAAAGAAACCTTGTGGTGGTTTTGTTTTTGTTGTGAGGATGTTCATTGAGGAAAGAAAAGGAGAGAGAGGAAGGGTGGCTTGAAACTCAAACAACCAGAGAGATTCTCCCCTCTTGGTTTGGTTTGGTTTGGTTTCCTATGTTTGGTGTGGGTTTTTCTTTTTGTTTATTCTCAACTATGGTTCGGCAGGTGATGTTTTTTGAATTTGGCTTAGATAAGTGTTTGATGCTGACTAGCACTAACAGGTGGTTTTGGGGCCCTATTATGCTTGAGTATTTTCTTACATGAATTATTAGTATTTTGAAAAATAGGACTTTATCATAGGATATTTTTAAGCATAAAATTGTTGTTGATTTGATTTCTTAACTCATCATTTTGGAAATGACCAAATTGCCCCTCTCTTGTTTTCGGATAAGGAAAGCCTTGTGGTCTTGTGCAAGTGAAGAGATGAGGACAAAATGCATAATGGACTTTGCTTTAGTTTAGCTTAATTTTTATTAATGTGAATTTGGCTCTATTATGGAAACTCATTTGATTCAAGGAACAAGTATCATGGTTTCTGCTTTTCAATCAATTGCTTTATGATGCTGCCCCATGAACAGAATAACAATAACTCTGTTATGAAAATGGTACCTGATTAATCAAATGGAATTGAGGGAAAGCTCTAAATAAAGGATATTCCGTCAGGTAGCAGTTACTAGTTAGTGTAGCTGTGCAAGGATGAGTTTATCTGTGTTAGAAGAAAAGTAGTTGGCAGTTAGTGGATCTGTTCAATAAAATCAACTTTTGGAAGGGGAAAGCTTCGAGGTTCATAAATTGCATGTGTTTGTTTCAACGTATATTTTCCTTAACAATGAAGCTTTTGTTTCAATGAACAATGATATCTTCATATCAGCAATGACTCTAAGTCTTTAATGTCAAGTGTCAACAACGTAAATGGCCAGAGATGACTTATGATACGATATACAAAGATAGGTTCATAAAACATTAAATACACACTTGAATTTGAGGTGATTGTAATTTCAATTTTTTCTGCATTGTAGTTTTAGTTAGTTAGCGTGAAGCTCTCAAATTTATTATTATAATAATATTAATAAGGTTTTGCAAAATACCCTCAAATATGGTCAATCCATAATTCCTTAAGTCACCGACAAAGTCAAACTTATGGAATATGAGATTTTAGATAAGATATGAATGTGAGGGATTTTAGAGACTTTTACTTAGTATGAGATTTTTTGAACTTCTTAATTAATTTAATTTTTATTTATTATACTTATTTATGAATTAAATTTTAATATTTTTAAAATAAATGATCTATAATTAAAAAATATATTAACAATATAAATTATTTAATATAAATTTAATTCATATATTTAAATTTAATATTTATTTGTATATATAATTTATTATAAATTTTAGTTATATATAATAAATATTTAGTCTATGAAATATAAATGCTAAAATATTTTTATATTTTACCAATTCAACTGTTAAATTAAAAGTTCTTAATATATAAATTAAGTTTACAATTTTTTTAAGATTCAAAAAGTTATTTAACATTTTATTTTATTAATTCAAATTGATAAATAATTATAAAAGTATTTTATATATCGATTTAAATTGGCTAAATACCTATTTTGATCCCTTATAATTTTTTTTTGTTTCAATGTAGTCCCACCTTTATTTTTTGTCTCAATTTGGTCCCAAACTAATTAATTGGTTTCAATTTGGTCCCTAATAAATTAATTGGTTTCAATGTGAGACTTCCGTCCAAATTTCTTTAACGGAGTTAACTATTGGCCACGTGGATGCCACCTAGATGCATAGGTGGATGCCACGTGAATGTCACGTGGATGAAATTTTTTTGAAAACACCTAGAACCAGAACGGCCCATTCTAAAACCAGAACGAGCTGTTCTGGATGCGCTTTTGGTGTGTTAATTTTGCATCGGAAATGGGCCGTTCCAAATGCAAAATTTACACACCAAGAGTACACCAGAACGGTCCGTTCTGAAACTAAAACGGCCCGTTCCAAAACTGAATAGAATATTATTTATTAATTTTATTAAAAAATGTAATAATTTTGAAAAATATTTTTTTATAGTAAAAATTTTAAAATTACTTATTTTTATAAAATACAATTGCCTTATAAATAGAGTAATAACTTTTTCTTTTTTTCTTG